ACAAAATTTGTGTTTTTTCTCCCTCTCTCTATTGGTATTGGGTAGAAACAGCTTAGTTTTTCTTTTCCTCGCTTTGGCTATTGTGATTTATTGACTCGTTCGAGCCGCAGGTGCTCCAGTGCTCAACTGTTTGCGGTTTGCTTCCGCAATTACTTTTGCCACTCGAAACAGTTGCCCCTTGCTGTTTAAATAGAATGCTGCCAATAGCTTTTACTGTCCACATCCGGCAAACATAATTTCACATGAACTTGAGCTCTACAGGAGTTTTTAATTACAGGTAAATGCTAGGCATAACCATGGGCGATTCCTTTCAAATATACAAATACAAGCAGCGTACAGCTTGCAGCTGAGACATGAGGTGACTTAGAACGGGCAGGGGCAGTGGGCAGGCGCATGTCTTGGCATACAAATAGCAGCAGCATTTTGCCTATGAATATGTGTGTGTGTGTGTTCTTGTATTGGTGTCAGTGCGTGCTTCCTGGCAGCCCCAACAGCGCCCGATCCCAGTCTGAGCGCCTACTCAGCCCCTTCGCTGTCGCAGTCCCAGTCGCTGCCTTAGCCTCGCTCTTTTGTGTTTATCCTGCTCCAGTTCCACAGTCTGCTGCATTCATTAGACTTGGCCAAGTGGCAAGCAGGCATACTGCCTGCACAGTATTAAATTCCATTAACAGACGCTGCCACAGTCTCTGCCTTGGCCTTCTGCAACTGCAGCTCTAGCCTCTCTAATGGTGTTACATGACTTGGGGCCAATTCCTATGCATATTACGATTATTATAAGCTCGTCACATTACTATAAAGCCTAAGCGAGCAAAGTATTTAACAAATCTGTCGCTGTCTTTGCTAGCCACGGCTCGGGCCAGCCACGCTGCAGGCCAAAATTGGCTCTGGACCAGCACTTTGATAAATTGCAAATTGAGACGTTTCCGTTGTGCCTCGAGCACTAACTAACATCATATTGATACGAAATGTTGATGGCATTGTCACAAGATTACCAATTGGCATGTCCGAATGCCACAAACTCTGGCATTTGACTTAAAGCGCAGTTATTTGTGTATATTTACACGTGTTACTCGAGTTCGGGCGGAAATGCATGACCAATGCTCGGCTGTCAACTTGCCACACGTCATGCCACACGACACATGGCTGTAAAAATGTATTGTGTTGCATGTGGCATGACTCATTACAACTCCATCGTTGTGTAAACAAAACTTCAGGAAAGTATGTGAGAACAAAGTCGAGGCCTAGCTAAGGCATAGGCATAGACGAAGTTCTACGAGCTTCGGCTGCATAGTTTGAATCTTATATATTTTATAGAATATTTGCAGAAATTTTAATTATAGCTTTGTAGACGTTATTGGTTATAGATATGCATAGCTATCTAAAGTTATGATAGTCGACTAACGATACGCAGAATTACTTGGGAATTTATCACAGTTCTTTAAATGTTTCATAGTGTTTCGTAGGAATTCGAACAACATGTGTCGTAGTATATTGATATATGTATATATATAGTTGAGTATAATATGAGTAAATATGATGAAATTTATGTAATACAGTTGATAAGGGAATAATAAATATACGAGTATATGTTGTAGAAAGTCATGTGCTTACTTGTCTATATTTATAGGTCAGGTATATATAAATTTAAATTTTAGATGTTCATATTATTTATGATAATATATATTATATATAATATATAATATTATAATAATATCAGGTATATATTTTAAATTTTAGATGTACATATTATTTCTGATATTATATATAATAAATAATAAATAAACTAACTGTTAGCCTACAAAGTTTTTAACTCAGCTGATAGAAATGGTCGAAGCATCATTTTCTACATATGACTCTACACCTTATTGAGCATAATTAGACCCAAATAACTTTTGCTTTTGTCAGATATTTGTGTGAAAAAGTTGTCCAATTTTAGTCAAATAAATGATGCTTTCATTATTTAAATTCTATAGAGTCGCCATGGGCTTTATAAAATATATGCTGAGTCGCTTCGAATATTGTTCGCGAGTGGAGAAAGCGACAACATTTATTAAAAGAGATATGCTCTTTACAGCTTGCCAATAAATATACCAGAAAAAATTGCCAGATCAACAGAATTAGTTTAAAAAAAGTTTTATAAAGCAGCTTGACCATTTGCTGTAATCAAAGCTTGAGTAACTTGAGGCAGCTATAAGAAAGCAAATTACTCAACTAGTATTAGCTGCCATTGTATAAATACTCAGTCAGTCAGAACATAGAGACAGAGAACTTTGTGTACTGCATGACTCATATATATGTTATATATTTTTAAAATATTGTCTGTGGGCTCAAGCTCAAGCAGTCTATCATTCAGTGCATAAAGTATTATATCTACATCCTCTGTCATATAGATAAACAACTCTGTGTACCGAATGATTAACTGCTTGCACTGAAGTTACTGCAGCCATAGTTAACTTTTTATATATATAAGATATATATTTATTTTTATATAGCATATACGACATACTTTATCAATACAAAATTAATTTCAAAATTATTCCCATATCAGTTGGTAGTCAAGGAAAGAGTATTCAGTGTCTACTTCGCTATAAAACTCGCTTTTCGTGTGTTTCGCGGCAATCGAAAAGCGCACATTAGGGTTCTTGTAAAGACATTTCCGTTAGATTTGATTATCGTCGATGTTGGAGCTCGATGGAGCAAAGGGCTTAATGCAGATATTTGAATCTTATCGCAGCTAAAATTGGCATTCGCATGAACTTGTTGACAAAAAAGGAAAATTGCTTTATATATATATATATCTTGATGGGTTTCTTCTGTTGCATGTGCAGCGCTCGGGATTAAAGAATTTGAATTAATTATAAAATATACAGTTACTTGGAGCTTATGTTGCATGTTGCTGCATCGTTTGGCAGCTTTAAGAGGCTCACAATGGTTGTTTGGCATGCGCACAATGCAGCTAGATCTTAAGCACTATGTAGATCTAAGCTTATATATACGTATTTTTTACATGCAGGGCAGCCCCACTGTCGCCCCCACTAAAATGGCTCCATGCCGCACTCGGTATGCACTACGTTTGTGAGTGAGTGTATCTACGTTGGCTAGACACGCACGTGATTTGGTTCTTATGCAGGGAGTACAGATAAATGTAAATAGCTCTTGACTTACCGCGCTCGTTGACAGGTGTTTGGGTGCTTGTTGATTGTTGGGTTTTCATTACATTTATAGAGATAGATAGAGTTTGTGTGAGTGAGAGAGAGAGAGAGTGAGAGAGATGGCTAATAGCTAATGCGACTTGCTAAGCTAATATATTGTTGATTGTTGATTGATGATCGGCTGCTCATAGTTGATTGAAGACGTTGGCAACTCCGGCGCACTCGTTGGGGGCTCAGTTTCGATGCTTCTCACAGTTGTCCTTGACTTTGGCTTCATATGTTTTACGTATATATATATATATATAAATCTCTTAGGATTTCTCACGTGAAAAGTGTTTGCTTTACAGTGTCTTAGAACTACTTAAGTACAAGTTTCTTTGTTTCCAATTTGTGGGCTCAACTTTTTCTTTTTTTTGTACTCTTGGCTTAAAATTTTGCATTTTACAATGTGCTCGTTAGGTGCGTGTTTATGCCCAGGACTTAGGATTGATAATAGTTGATAGGCATAAACATGAATCGCTTAGAAAACTAGAAAATTATTCGCACTACTTAGATACAAATAGTTATATAATACTGGTATACATTGTATATTGATATCGATAAGATTAGCTACTTTTTGGTATGTTTATAAATATTAAATATTATATTTTGTTATGGAATATCAATTATTGTAAAGTGTATTGCTTGAGCTGAACTACAAATTCTACAATTTCAAGAGGCTATTCGTGTACGTATACTTCGAGTTAACATTAGCTGTATTTGTTATTGTTGAAGCACTAAGAACTTGATAAGGGCAATAAGACTTTAGAATATTATATATATTGTAAATTGTTCACTACTTTAAATGCGTATATATATCTTTATATATCTATGGTATATGCTGTAGTTATATAAGTATCGGGAACAACTGGACCCACAAATTTAGCTGTCTACTAAAATGCTATATATATAAATATAAATATATATATATATATTGATTTGTAGTTAGAATATTGGCTTTAGTATACCTTTCAGTATATTTATATATATCTAAATAATATTTTTATTATATACTATATTGTTTAAATCGACTATTTAATACGCTGATCTGGGCAAAGTTGAACACTTTAAGTTTGTATATATCAGAGACAATTATATCTTAAATTTGGAAGTTAATAATATTGTTAGTTATATAGCTATTAACTGTACTTAGATATATAAACTAATCTGTCTGCCTCAACGGTACAAGTGCTCTTCTCTGCTCTGCAATAGCTTACGATCTATAGTCTAAGGCTTAATAGTAGTTGGTGTCTTGTCTTACAGGGATTACTATATGCACATGTTCAGCTTTCTGAGCTAAGTTTTCTTTTAGTTAGAATAGTTTTAAGTGTTAGTTATCTTAGCTTAACTTATCTTAAATAGCGTAGCAAACACTTTTCCTTTCTTTCAATTGTTTTCTCTCTTTGCAAATCTCTCTTTGATGGGTTTAAAGTCCAATTTAGTTTTCGTTAAGGTTCAACAAAAGCGACTAGCAATTGATTAAAATGACTCTAATTGATTTACGTTAATTTAATTCTTTTTGTTTTTTTTTTTTCTGGCCGTAACTATTTAAGGGCTATTTAACTTGATTTGAACGCTAAGAAAAAAGTTTTTTTTTTACAAATAACAAAAACTCAAACTTGATTTAAATTTAGTTTGCTTTTTTTTTTGCTTTGGTGTCGGTTGAAGCGCTTGTGTTGATTGAAGACTTAGCATAGAAGAAGTGTTGATGTGTTGCTGATGATATGCATTTGGGATCGATATTCGATTCTGTACTTTCAATTCTGTGCTTGCTTCTAGCGCTCTCCCGCCTCCACACTCGACTCTGGCTTACCTCGGCGATGCGGCCGGCAGCGGCGGTAGCGACAGCGGCGGCGGCGGCAACGGCGGCGGCGGCTGTGATCGCACATCCGTCTCAATGTGACGCTTGTGCGGCGACTGCAGATCGAGTGCCGCGTATGCGGCATGCGTGTGCCCAGCCACGCCCAGCGGCGAGCTGCGTGGCCGCATGGTAATGGGCGGACCGCGAAACAGCGCATACGGATTGCCAAAATAATCCTGTGAGGTGGCCATCATATCGAAACGAAACTGCAATCGAGAAAGGAAAATCGATTAAACAGAGAAATTATTAAGAAAATGGTTCAGGAAATCGTTGAAGGTAATTCAAATCCTTGAATTTAATTGATGGGAAATACGAAATTTAGTCAATAGCAATAATGTTATTAGAGCTCTGCTTAAATTAATTTTGTCAATATTTTTTTGGTATTTTTTAGTTTGCTATATAAAACTTGAAGTACAAAATATTAATTCTGCTAAATAAACGATTTTATTCTTTTCTAAAAAAATATTTTTTTATAATTTTTTAGACTTTTATACTCTATAGGCATGTATTTAATTAGCCAGCATATATATAAAACCTTAAGTCTAGACTTATTGAAGCCTTTTACAGTCAGACAGGCAAGCTGCTTAATCAATTTAGCTTGTCATAAGGCGCAAGGCAAAGGACATTTATCTATGCATTTATCTAAGCCACGCTTATCAGAAATGCCTTCTGCACTCTGTTACATTGCAGTTGTTATGCAAGACAGATTTTGGTTTCGATTAAAACTTTTAATTCTATTTGAAGACAACTAGCTGAACAAAGTTTCCAGGACTCAGTCATGGCGCTAAAATGAAAACCTGCTTAAAATGCAGTTTTCTAGACGTTTAGCCTGTCAGCTTATAATTCAATGCCAGCTAAGTTATTGTTAGCTCTAGCCACATTCTCGCACCTATTTTCCACTAAATTAAAAGCAAATAAAGCGACCTTAAACCGCAGTCGCATTCATATTCATAGACACTTTTGAAATCGTGGCATGTCAATAGACCATTTTTATAGGCAGCCATTCAGAGCTGACTAAACGATGGTAGCTTATGTGCGTGTGTGTGTGTGTGTGTGTGTGTTATTTGTGCAACGTGCGTGTCCTGTCCATTCATGTTTTTTAATTTAATAGTCATGTAAATATGTGAGGCACGCGACTGCATTTAATTTTTTGTTGTGAAATGAAATTATTGTAACATGTCCATTTGATTGATGCCCACAGCACGGATTCAGCCACGCACACAGCCACACACACACACACATGTCGAACACGCCATAATTGACAGGATACATCAGCTATTGAGCACTGAGCAACGGGCAACGGACATCGGACAAGGGACAGTTGTCAGCGCAGAACATGACATGACGACAGTGCTCAATGCATGTAATTAAGTGTCCTGTCCCCGCCCATCGCTTTAAGTGCCGCCCATTTGGGAAAGTGCGCGTAACGAGCAGTTGATGGTAGTGTTCGCATTCCCAGTAATCAAGCCAAACAGCAATTATTGGCGCCTATTCTTCAGCAAGGGACACTTTTAAATTGAATTGTTTATGTTTTGGTTAATTAAGGTATTAGAGAGAGGTGGAGATAGATAGGAAGGGAGAGACAGAGAGGGCAGCAAAAAAAGGGTTCTAAATATACAACAAAAAATTATTGTAAGAACATTTAGCCTTTTTCTAGCCTTTTTCTATAACTAAACATCTATTTATATGCTACATATAATTCATTTAAATAATATCAATTTTAGATAATATATTAATTTTTATAAATATGACCTTGTGCTATATCTTTCATATTTGCCACACTTTCAGCAGGGAGTCCAAGCATTTTTTGATTGTGACACTCAACTACTTCCGATGAGCTTCACTTTCTGACTGACACTGCAGAGCCACTGATCGAGCGACTGCTATGGCACATGCTCTTCGCTCACTACCTTCACTCGAATTCATTGACTCGCTCAGGTTGCGCTGCTCAGCGCCCTCAGTCAGGTTCGTTGGATGGGAGCGCACACAGCAATAGAGCAGAACTTAACAGAGTAGATATATACATAAAGCTGTGCAAATTTTCTCTTTATAAAAATACTAATAGGCCAATGAGTATTTTGTGAATGTCATTTATGGCTTGATATTTTTAAATATAAATTAAGTAAAAAATAGTCAAAGGAGGATACTTTATATTTTCAAATAAATATTTATATTTAATTTACATAAGCAAAATAAATATATTTCTAAAATAATAATTTTTGTCCTTTTGTATAACTTAGAAATAATTAAAGTAAATAATAGTCAAAGGAGGCAGCTTTATATTTTCAAATAAATTATTAGTAAACATTTATATTTAATTTATATAAGCAAAAAAAATATATATCTAAAATAATATTTTTTTGTCCTTTTATATAACTCATATCTTGAAGCATAAAGTATGACACTTATTTGATTTTTTTTATTTATTTCTAAAAAGCTTGTGAACTATACCAAGTTAAATTCCTTTGAGTGCATTCATTGCTTGGGCAATCTGTTACCTATTTTAGAAAACTAGGCCTTGGAGCTAGAGCTTGGAACTGAAATTATTCGAGACTATTGAAAGGCTTGAATGAAGCTCAATTTTGCTGGACTATAAAATTTCTTAAATTGCGAATTATTGAAAAATGTAAGTTCTTTATATAATCGCTCTGCTAGCTACTCATAAAGACAAGTTAGCAAACCCAATTATAATTATTTTTATTTTTCCTATATATATTCAAATTTCTCAAAGAACACTTTAAGTTTGATCTAAAGTCTTGCTTTGTAAGTATACAAAAAAATAGCTGATATATGTATAAATATTTATAATTGTTGCCTGGAATACCCAGAAGCCGCTCAAAACAAAGATCAAGGGTTAATTTCTGTAAGCTACACGCAATAATCGCATTAGGTGTAAATTTCAAGGAATTGCCGTTGACATTAATGACGTCACGGTTGATTCGCGTACGTGATTTTGTAAGCCAGTGTAAGTACATTTGGCGGATTAACGCAATTTCCAGCCAATTGGCATCAAGTGGGCAACATGCCACAATTTCTGAGCCACAATTAAGTGTGCTACAAATCGCATCGCATGCCACACACACACAGAGTAAATGCTTCGCACAATGACCGAATGCAGTGCGCTTTCTTAATGAATGCTGTTTTCTTTTTTACTCCTACTTTTTCCCTATTGCCATTTTCCTTTTTTCTTTTGCATAATTTAACGCGACAGCTCAAGTGCTGACTGATTTTCCAGACGGCGTAACGCGTTGGCGTTGGCGTTGGCGTTGGCGTTCCCGTTGACGGCGTTTAACTTTTGCATAATTACGTGTAAGAAAAAAAGTTGCCAGCTTGCGGATTTATATGAAGTTCGCAGCGGCGGCGCGGCGCGGTTCGAACTTTCTAAGAAATTTGTCTAAAGCTGAAGCGCGCGATGGGCCCGTCGGGGAGTGGGGGGCAAGCGTATCAGAGTTGAGAGATATGCGCACAGCTTGAACTTACATGGAGCAACTTTTTATATCATCAAATGCAGAGCATATGCACAGTGTGGCTATTTGCATATATGAACTATAAAAATGTATATGGCAAGAGTCTGTGTGAGCAAGTTGAAATCTTTGATAGAAAAACTTAAACTTAAAATTTTTTTTAATATTTACATACGCATACACAGACGGAGCTGGCTAAAATATAAAAAATATATGTTTATCTTAAAACTAACATACTTTTCAAGATTATTAAAAAATTAACTATCAGCCTAATAGTTGTTTAAAATTCCATTAAATTGAGTCAAATTTGTAGCATATTTTTAAAATTCAAAATATTTTTCGGCTCTTCTGGTCCCACTGTGCATTGTAGTTCACCGTGTGACGCTAATGGCACGCCCATGCCCCAGAGTATCGTTGACTTTAACTTGTATGCATCTACACCAATACACACACATGGACAGGTCCACACTCACATGCACACATGCGCGCTGATAAATTTGGAGCAATAGCGTCAAGTGCACGCGGATGCGGTCTCTGGTGGGGCGGCGCGACACGGTTGCAAATAGGCCAGACGTTGTGCGTCGGGCACCTACGCGCACATTGGTGTCACCTACTGAACTGAACGTAACTGAACGTGAGCGTGTTGCTACCAGGAATCTGGCAAAGTAATCTCTGCTGTTGCGGCACATTTACAGCAATTGCTGCTGCGAGTTGCGGCCTGTTAATGAGTCAAGAAATGCTATCGCTGTGCGCGTGTATGTGTGTGTTTCTGTGTAGGTGCGTCTAAGTGCGTTGGCGTCAACCCAAAGCCCAACAGCAGACGACAACAATGGCAAGCGCTGACAATGCCGCCAGTTTGTTGCTTTTGTGTTGCCTACTTTTGTGCGCTGCCTTGGCGACCTTCTTGAGACTGCGTCCCGAACTTGTGCGTCTATTAAACATAAAAGCAAACATGTTTAATAACAACGGCTTAAATGTGACTAGATTTAATGGGATCTAGTGACGGGCCTGGTTGTTTGTCTACTAAGCTAGGGAGGGGGCGAGGACGAGGGAGCAAAGGTGCTCTCCAAATAAATTTAAGTGACTAACAAAGCGTTGATGATACTCTAAATGCATAATAAGTGATGTAGCTGATAATAATTTTATATATAATATTCAATTTATATAAGTCGTATTTTTAATAATATCTAATATATTTATGGCCGATTGCATAAGTAATTTAAGAACCTAACGATTCTAACAGCAGCTCTTGGCTTCTGCTACTCTCTCTTGCTAAGCTGTAACCAGTTGAGAATTATATGGTTGCAGCTTGTGAAGAAAGAGGTAAACTTAGTGAATATAGTGCTATATATATATTTTTATACAGCAGCCAAATCTATTTATAATAAGTTGTTTAAAGTCTTTGCTAATTTTAAGATATTTCATTAGTTTTTGATATCTTCTTCTTCTTCTTGTTAGCTGCCGAAGTTTCTCTTAGCTTGTTGTGATATGAGTGCCATGAGCCAACTAACTAAGTTTTCACTCACATTCAGCTATGCCGTCTGTCACACAAGTATTTGAACCACTTCCAACTATATATCTATATATATATATTCATTATTGTGTGTTAGCTAAGTATACCTAAAGCTGCTAGAAATCAACTACCTATTGCACTTTTGGAGTTCGTGCATTGCTGTTCGTTATGCATTTGCCTGACTTTTAATTAATTGAACTACTCTGCGATTTAATGGCATAAGCTGAACAAATGCAAAACTTTGACTGCATATTGAAAATAATTGCGTATGCTCTTGATGAGGGCTTACTTACTATGGCATGACGTGTGTAATCAAAAGATAGAAATAATGAGATTTAATAAGAGAAAAAACATATTTATCTAAGTACCTATCAGTGATTATGGACTAAAAAATTTGGCTGTAGATTATCTATATCTATCTATCTTTCTCTACTCTATATTCTAGTAAATTATTTTGGAAATTATTTAGATGTATATTATTTATATTTTTAAGTAATTGAAAATGAAGCAGTCTATATGATAAAGCTCTGTTTAACCATGTGACTTTCCTTCTTCGATATATCTAGCTATTAATCTATCAATTTATCGATATATCATTCCATATGTTTATCGATCTATTAATCTATCAATCTATATATATATCTATATATCAACCTATCTCTCCTTATATTAATCTATCTATCTATCTCCTAAACTATCTATCTATCATCCGCCCATCTATCGATCTATCTCTCTATAAAGCTATGCCCTTATCTATCTCTATATAGTTATTTTTCCTTCTATTTATCCATCGCTCTAGCAGTCTTTCTAGTTCTCTATCAATCTACCTCAATCTCTTTGTATATCTAAATCAATGTATTTATGTCTCTATGCACCTATCTAACTCTCGATATGTCTATCAATCTATCAATCTATCCATCTAACCATCTAACCATCTAACTATCTCTCTATCTAACTGTATATATATATATTTATCTGTGTATTTATATATCTCATATGTATGTTTCTATCAATCTAACTATCTTCATCAATTTATCCAAGTATCTATTTATCTATCTATTTATACATCGATCGTTCAATCATTCTATATATCAATCAGTCTATGTATCTATTCACTGTAATGGAAACTGGCATAGATTCAACTTTATATATGCCAAGATCACTTGATAGAATAAATCATACAGATACTAAAGTAAAGGTAAAAGATATATATATACATCGACTATAAATACAAAAAATTCATAATATTTTCTTAAAAATTTGCAACTTAAATAACGAATTTCAGCAGTTTCAATCGTAGACTTCTACAGAATATATGCTGCAGCTGCTAGGGCATATAATCTTCGTGGTGCAGCAAGTCATAATTTCTGCTTTTTTATATATTACTTCTTGGAAGTTGTGACCCGCTTGCTATCAGCATGCAATGGATAACTTTTGCTGACTTTTACTTTAACGTTGAGTCGAAGGCGCCCGCACAGCAAGTTGGGGTAAGTTTGTGTTGTTGGCCAGCGGCTCAGTGGAGAGATAATCCTTTGTTGCGTTTTATTGCGTTAGCCCGTCGTTTTGCGGTTTAGCGCTTTAAGACAACAAATTGAATTTGGCGCCAGCTGCGCTGCGACACGGAGCAAGTCCGTCGAGTCCACTTGCTTAGACAAATGCATAAGCATAAGCTGATTTGCGGCAATTGCATTTGATGCACTCTCTAGCCACGCCCCAGCGCCTTCCCTGTCTCTGCTGTTGTGCTCTTTGCCAAATAGCTTGGCGCTCTTTGTGCTATTGACTTGGCTCTTAGCTTAGCTCGACCGCAGTCCAAATGTTATTTTGCTTTTTGTTTGTTGCATTCTTATTACATAATACTGGAGCAGCTGCAGCGGGCCTGCCCAGTCAACAGCTGCTAGCATTCAATTTGGTATGCCAGATGCCACGCCCCTGGCAAATCTGCCCACTGCTTTCTCCCTGTCCCTCTCGCTCTCTCTATGTATGTGTGTCTGCTTGTGCAGCACTTTGTTTGCGTGCAATTCCGTAAAGTCCTGTGCGTGCATTCAGGTTATTCCAGCAGCTCAGGCGTTTGACATGAAAAATGCATTTTATTGGGATTATATTTATATGGTGTCCTGGCACCCACCAGCTCCAACACCACCGCCGCCGCCGCTCAATTAAATCAGCTTTGCCATTTAAATTTGACTGGCTGAAAACTCCAAGCTAATATGCAAATTCAATTAAATTTACATTAATGTTTGTTTAGCTAGCTAATTTATTTTTTTTTTGTTAATATTTTTTTAATATGATTTGAGCGCGTGAAATCAGTTTTCGCACTTTTAATTCAATTAACGCGACGCAATTTTCACAAAAATGACAGCAACAACTGCAATTAGCCATTGTGCTTTGTGTAGAGGCGAGTGTTAATAGCCAATTACGTGTCTCATTTTCAGCTACACACACACACGCATGCACGCCTGTTTACTGTTGTCCAACTTTTGGCCCATTCAGGTGCAGTTCCTGGCTGTGGTCGCTCGCATTTAGTTTTCCTACGTGCTCGGCTTTCAAACTTTGCGATTTGATGTGGCCAGAGCTGCTCTCACTCAACATTAGTTTATAATTTTGATTGTGCCAAATGGTTTGTTTTCCTGCTGGCCTTATCAGCATTATAATATGCTGCATAGCGAGTGCTCATATGCCGTTCCATCTAGCCCATTTGTTTGCCCTGCTCTTCGAAATAAGTGTGCTTCAGTGGAGAGCACTTGAGCGTGAAATCCACTCTGATAGCTGTATTTAGTTTCAATATGTAATATGATTTTGAACATACTTCTCCATACTTTCTATTGCTAAACATTGATTTGATTAAAGTCATGAGAAGCGCAAAGAAGGGTGGTGTTTATGAAGGTTAAGCGATTGTGAATGGGAAGTAAAAGAAATCAATAGAGTGAGATATAAGCAAGTGCTCTAGTCGAGGCTGCATATTTCCATATTGCAATCATTTTACACCTCTTTTGGCCTCTTACAGCGCTGCTTATGCAGCGACTGCGCTTGGGCTGCTGTAGGAGCGGTGGCAACTTAATTATTCAGAAGCTTTTCGACTCAGCTTTAAGTGCTAATTAAGAAGACACATACTTAATGGGATTTGCCACGCCTTCTTCTGCCTTTACATATAATATATATGACAATTATACAATAAATTGTCATTACCTTTGGTTCAAGGGTATAGTGGTATATACCCATATCTTGAAACTTTGAACGACAAAGCAAATGTAAAGTAATAGAGACATCTACAGTGTAAGTGAGTCAAGCTGAGCAATTATAGTAAACGAGAGAAAGGTATTAAAAAACCAAATAACCTTCAGTTGAAGTCATGAGAATTGCATGGAAGAGCGATGTGTGTGATTAATTAGAGACAAAGTGGAAGAAGAAGTGAGTATGATGGATGCATAGTTGAAAAAGAATAAGATGAAGTTGTAACAATGTAAGAGAAGTAATAAAATAATTAAGAAAAGTGGATGAAAGTGCGAAAGAGACAGACAAAGAGAGAGAAAGGGAGAAAGACAAAGACAGAAAGAGAGAGGGAGAAAGAGAGAGGGAGAGAGAGAGAGGGAGAGAAAGAGAGGGAGAGAGAGAGAGAGAAAGACAGAGGGAGAGAAAGAGATAGAGAAGGAGAAAAAGACAGAGGGAGAGAAAGAGAGTGAAAGAGAGATGAAGTGACAGAAAAGTGGGGCTCGAAAGAATGAATAAAAATGTGTAATGAGAATGTCTTTAATGCTATTAGGAATTCCCAGCTGAAATGAGAATCGCAAAGAAAGGCATTATTCTAGGGAGTTATAAATTAAGAAATAACTAATTGAAGGAGCATTTAAAAAATATATTCATTAGGGGTCTCTACACATCAGCATCGACTTTTTAAGTGATAAGTAAACAAAATCAAACTTAGAGCATGAGGAAAATGTTTAGAGTTTGCAACTCTCTCGACTGCTAATCTAACATTTAACGAATCTGTCTCTATCTGCACATACTCATGCTGGCAAATATAAACAAAATTGCCTATAAACAATTATCAGAGTGGACTGCAGCAATGACTTGTCGCACCAGCCTGATTGTGAGTCAACGTTTAGCAACTGTTTATTTTCTTATCGCTATCGTCGTTTTATTGTTGTTGTTGTTGTTGCGGTCTTGCAGTCGAAAGCTTTAAAATAGAACTAAAGTTGATTACGCAACGCATTCTCAATTGGACAGAGGCACATGGAAAATGTTCAACAGCCTCCTCTCCAATCGATACAATAAGAAACGCGAACTGTTCTATGCACAATACGAGGGTGAGCCACTGGATTATTATATAAGAACGTATAATATATATATATACATGTGTAGCGACACGTCAGCGCTATGCCAATCTGCCTCTCTATCAGCGTCCAGAGGAGCCTTCGGGCAGCAAATCGCTCAGATGTGCGCGCAAGAGGAGAAAACCCGCAGACTACGATTACGATGAGTGGTATGTATCGGTGGGGTCCGTTATCTTCAAGGCTAATTGGCAAACCTACAGGATAGCTGGACACTCGGTGTCGATTGTGGTACGTCGCGCCATTGAAAACTGGAGCTGCTGCCAATTAATGGAGCGTGTGGGCAGTCTGAGCAGCGACGGCTGCAGCTGGCGCAGCTGGCCAACGGAGGCGGATGAAGCTCTAGCTGAGCCGAGACGTTCGCTGCGTCTGGCGGATAAGCCAAACTTAAGCCTTAAGCAAATGAGCCAGCCAAGTTTGAAGGACACAATTGGCTCAATCAACTGGCAACAGCAGCGCGAGGACTCGCCAAGCTTGGCCGAGCAGCAGGCGCCGCTGACTTTTGTCGATGGGTGCGTGGCGCTGAATATAAGAAAACTTTTCCTATTGACCGTTTGTAATGGCTTTCTGCTTTTCCAGTTGCAGTCACCAGCTGGAGTGCAGCATGTGCTGCAAGCATTGCGACTTGCAACGGCATTCGCTCGACGATTGCCGCAAATATTTGCTTGCCACGCTGCCCAAATCGAAGTTGGGCTGAGCTGCACTGCACTGCACTGCTTACATAAACCGGCCAAGTGCTTGTAACTAAGTAGCAAGTGCAACCAGTTAATCAAATATAATACAACTCGGACGTGGCAACATCCTGCTGCCTAGCCTGGCCAGCTCTTGCCGTGCCTTGCCTTGCCTTGCCTTGCCATGTTGCCTCATTTAATATTTATTGTTATAGGATTTACACAGATTTAAATAGCATTTGCTTGACTAATTTATATGCAAGTGACAAACTGTGAAAGTTTCTTTGCTTCTGGTTGAGTGTACTTGACTGAGAAATACTCTGTATGCATGAAATTTTAGATGTATTTAAATATATATAGAAATATTTAATAAATAAATAAAAATATATAAAAAATAACTAAATAGACATTTATTTACTTTTAGGGATAACTCTAATATGAAATAAGTTCAATCTTAATTTTATCAAAATTTAGTTGGAATTTCCTTAGCATAGCTTAGCTTATCCCAGTGCTCTTTACTCAATCATAAAGATACATTTCGTGAGCAAGTCAGTTTCTTAGTTCTTAACACTGTCTGAGCAGACAGTGCCTAGCTTAACTATTAATTAGTCAGCTTATTAGTTAGAAATATCTTTAGTATATTTAGAATATCCATTTTGTATGCTATGAATCCATTGAATTTTGGCATTTGGGGAATATTTTTTTTGCTTGAAGTAGGCTAAGCCGATCCATGAACTCCAAGTCATCGTGACTTGCTTTAATAGCCGAGCTCACTTAAGTCTATTCGGCACATTGTTCGCCAGTCTATTATTCTGTCTAAGTGCAATTTGTTAAGCTAGAAGAGCAAGGCACACGTAGATCAAGCTTATTTCATATGATCCATAAACTCTTCTTTTTCTTGAATATTTTAAGACTTGAGCAAATTCATTTTGTGCAAAAACTTTTTGAAAAAATTTTAAAAATATGAATTTCTTCACTTCTAAGTTATCTTTTCTATTTTTCAGGGAAATCACTACAGCTGAGCTTCGAGTTATGACCTTCTGAAACTAAAGTCAGAGTAAGGCAACTTTCTCCATTTGTTAATTACACTTTATATATTTTTTATATATTTATATATACCACCTACATATAAAAAGCTGCAATCCAATACTTAACTTTCTATTCTACACTACTCTACTCTAGATGCTTGAGTTAATGTTACAAGCATATCTATAATTTAATAATAATAATAAGCAATGTCTACTTCCGCCTGTTACTTATATATTCAAATATATTAATTTATGCAACTACTGACATTTGACTTACAGGGTATATACGATATTCTATACAACAAATATCAATGATCAATAGGTTATATAGACACAGCTTTACATGTCAAATACCACTGCTCGAACTAAAACTCAACTACTTGCTTCTATTAGCAACATTAACTAAAGATAATTGAATTAAATTCTTTTGTTAACAATTTGTTGGCCAATAAAGCTAATTGAAACAAAGATAACAATGAATTAGGCTTGCATTTGTCGGCTCTTTAAGGACAAATATTTTAAAGCCAAAGCAGAAAATTCAAAAGTTGAAAACAATTTGCAATTCCTTTGCCAATAAAGAGAGAGAGAGCGAAAGGTTAGCTGCATAGTAAAATATGCATTTATTGCGGCTATTTTGCATTTATATGAATACCTTCAGCTACCTATGTCGAGTACTGAACTTAAAAACAAGAATGCCAGCACGCAGCCAATAAAGTTCACATGCTTAAGCAGTAAATAAAAGGGGCAAGCACTTACAGGTGTGTGCGTGCCCAGTTAAGTTATAAACACGTCAAGCGGCTTTTGCATTGACAGCGCAAATTGATGGCAACTGCCAATGGCAGCCGGAAGCCGTAGTCAATGCCAAAGGATTGGACAGAGGGCGTACAATGTGTGAAGAGCCGCCCACTTGCCCACATCTCTGCAGCCCAAAGTATGTCTGTAAAATTGATAAACTGCTCAAGTAAGTAATTTGCATTGCAAATGCTGCTTTTTGTGCAATTTGTAACTTGTGGTACAGTAAAAACTTGACGGCTCACATATTGACAGTGCAGTTAAATTTTTAATTACCAAGCGTGGGTGTGTGTGTGTGTGTGTGTGTGCGTGGGTGTCTGTACAAATAGTTGTTGAACTTTTTGGCATGCCGAAACATATGCAGACATTAAATTTATTAACAGAATTAATGCGTAAAGTTGGCTGGCAAGACAAAGGCGCAGCTGAAGAAAAAACCGCATCAAATTGTCGTGAGGACAAAGTGAAAGCAAACAGCCAAAGCGAAAATTTCCCAGACAAAGACAAAGAAAGCACTCGAAAATTAACAGTCAGAATTTTGTAATATTCTGCAGCGAGTGCAGAAGGCTTGACTTAAAAGGGAAATATATTAAATAATATAATAAAGGAAAATATTTTATTAAACTGAATAAATTGAAGTCAGCAGTCGAGTTGTCATACAGATGTTTGTATATCATTAATAGGATTTTCAATTGTTAGCCAGAAAACCTCGCTTAAAATGTTTTATGATAAAATATGAAATTGTAATTTTTTTGCAATTTTTAAATCAGCTAAACTTTATTGTGTACCAGTTCATATTTGCATATATTTTCAATAAAAAATTTTAAGTGCAGAGTTATTTGAAAGATGAAATATATTATTTAACAAAAAAGAAATATTTTTTTAAATACAATTTCAGTAGAGTAATATTCTTATGAAGATTAATAGCTTCTTATGAATGGTAAAACAAAGTTTTTATACTCGTTCACAGAGTGAAGAGAGTATATTAAGTGTGTGCAAAGCCTACTACTAGAGACTTCATTTTTTTGATCTGGAATCTTGTATACTCTCGTATTTTTGTTTATAGTATTAGAATTCTTCAAATTTGATGGTGGGCGCGGTAAATTCATTAATAATATTTAGCTTAAATTATTTCTTTAACAATTTTAAAGCAAAAGTTTGCAATATTTGCTTATAGACAGAAATGAAGCAATTTCATTAAGACACCAAATGGGATAGCGAGATTTTTGTATTTTGTTAATTTATCTTGGGCCACAAGCGAGCATTATGTAGTCGAGCATAGCCTGCTTTGAATGAGCAAGTTTTCAAGTTTTTTTGAGCCCTTAATTTTCCAGCCTTCTCCCTCACTCTCTTAGGTGCTCTATTCTACTCTCTATCTCTCATTTTATTTCTCTTTCTCTTTCTCTTTCTCTTTCTCTTTCTTTATCTTTCCCATAGTTAAGCATTCTTTATTTTAGCAGTCAGTGAGTTATTCGAAATATTCTCTTTTCACACGAAAACTACTCGGACACACACACAACCACACACCCACCCACACACACTCACACACACCTTCACCTAACTCGTAACTGCCTTGGCGACGCCTTTGGCCATGCCCACGCGTCAAATAGAGAGTCGCGCGCTGCAGCAGAGGCAGGCCCAAATAGCTCGACAAACTGGCTGACTGACGCGTGAATAGAGGCGCAACGCGTCTGCTAACTAAACGCCGGCAGAGGCGCTGCGGCTGACACGCATTTGCCGCTTTTCCGCTTTGCCGCTCACTTGCCCCGGCCAAGGCTGGCTGCTGCGCCGTATATCTTCATTAAAATGCAATGGATTGTGGATGCTCGGCGCGTCGGCAGCGGGGCAATCGAACGTAGCTGCGACCACAATCAATCCAGCCAAGTCCACTGCCTGCGGTCTATAAAATGCGCTCCGGCCCTCCAGCCCACACCAAAGCCCATTCCCAAGCTAAATCGTGTAAGCGTTCGCGCGTGTAATGACAATGGCGGCGCGTGGCTTTGACTTTGACATGGCCAATGGCTGAGCGGCTTGTGGCACTAGAGAGGGGGCAACAAAAAAATGAGTAAGAGCAACTGCAAGTGGCCTCAAAACTCGGCGCTGTCAGCTGCGGCAGCAACGCGCATCAACATGCACGTAAAAGTCGCATCAACGCTGACGGTTGAGGCCGTGCTGTAAACTCGAATAAATTCTGCAGCGAGTCATCAACTGAAATATATATATATACATATATATATTTATATATTTATATATATATATATGTATGTATAGGAGTAAACAAACATCTCGGCTGTCAGCTAAAAGCAGCACCTTATAAACATTAAACGGGTTGATGCACAGCAGCGAGTTGGGCGTTGGGGGTAGGGCGTGGCATGGTAGGGCATGTGTGGCATGCGGCAGCTAAAGCATGCTCGTAAAATGATGCACAGATGCACATTCGCCTAGGTGTAAATCACGTAGCACTCCAACGCCTTTTACAGTTTCCGTTGTTTTTCCACAATAAAATTGAAAAGCAGCCAAAAAAGCCAACAACAACAACAATAATAACTACAAAACGCAAAAGTTTTAAAAGTAAAATGACAAGCGCACGTGCGAACCTGCCACGAAGCCAAAAACTGTGAGCCGTAGCCGTAGCCGTAGCCGTTGGCGCTGCCTTTGCCTTTGCCCGTACAGTCCCATTTACGGTCTTCTGTTTACGTCGCCTGACACTCGCAGCCGTCTCTCTGCCAGACTTATGGTTAGACATCGATCTCCTGGGTGCCGCCGTGTTTGCCCTCAACTACTTAAGCCCAAAAACTTTATGCATTTCTCGTGCGGCTCATTACAACTGCAGCAGAGCTGCTCGAATACACAACACGCATGAAGATTGTCTCTCCATATATATAGCTATATATATGTATGTATTTGTGTGCGTGTGTGCGTGTGTGTATTCCATATGGCATCAGCCTTGGCATGCACTGCGGCTGGTGGACCTGGTCCCAGTTCCAGTTGCTGCTTCTAGTCCACCAAGCACACGCGTCGAGTATTTTGTTTATTAAAATTAAGTGCCATGGACACGGGGCAGTCGCCGCACAGTGGGCTAAGATATAATATTTATGCGCTAAAAATGATGTGCTAAAAATGTTCATGAATTTTATATGAAATATAGTAAGAAATTTTATAGCTAAGAGCTGAGCAGTAGACGGGAATGGATTAGAAATAGAATTCAA